CTTAGTTTCAAGGTTATTGATTATTGTAAGGTAGTAAAATAAGGGCTTGAATTCGCTAACATTTTGTCAGAAATTTTGTGTTTACAAGTGAGAGCCTCTTATTATTCGGCGGTATTGTCTCAAAGTTTCATTTTCACGTGAACAGCAGTAACTAACAATGCATTTGACATTATGCAAAAATACTAGGTATTGTTGTGCACGAAAATATGAAACTTGGAGACAATAACCCGAATAATTATTATTCGCTAATTTGTTAATGTAGACCGTAATGTCTACATTACCGCTAACAAGAGCGCCTTGATACATACTAATCAAATCCTTCTTTCTAGCAATCGGCTGGAGGTATCTCAATGATCTTTCACACACGTTTTTAAAAAGATTGAAACTACTATGAGGTGAAATTGCATGCCAAAAGTGCTTCGTTTAGTACAGATAACAGTCGAACATCAAGATTGTCCATTTTTTACCGTATTTCTAACCATAAAAACTTGTTCCCAAAATATCTCGATAACGCTCTTACAGATTTCGCTTAAACTTCACGAACATCGAGGCGGCTGTTGTAGGAAAAAGTTCCAGTAAACGATTTTGGAAGAACAGTTCCCAGTGCTGAGAAATCATGCTGCAAGTAAAATAGTTAATGGCATCCTTTCGTTGCTATGACAACTCCAATGTCATTGCAACCCTGATCATAACAAATTTTTATCTTTATCTAATACAACTGTGGTGTCAATTTTGCCAAATCTTTGTTTATGGCGGCGTAGTTTACGCTCAAACTTGGGAGGTATTGACCTTGAAAAACTATATCGAGCCACCTTAAGTGGGCTGTTGTCTGAATCTAATTCAGAGATAGTAAGAACTAAATATGCACAACAGCCTAAATAAATGAAAAATCTAACATGTGTAATGTCTGCAACGTAATGTCCGCAACACTTTTCAACGTATAATTTCTGAGCAAAGAAACCCCACCCAGGAAATGTTTTGAGATTAAAATAGAGTATACATCAGACTAACTGAGCAGCATCAGTAGCACATGAAAGACCAGCAGACTGTGTACAGGAACTGAAAAAAGGTACCTTAACGTTGCGGACATTACGTAATGTCCGCAACAAAAATTCAATGTCAATTTTCTTGGGAAAGTGCCAGTAGCTGGATAATAATTTATAGCCTAATGATAGTGTAAGGCAAAGGTTATAATACACACATACTTTTATGTCGACTGTATGTTTTCTTAGATGTTAAAACTTTGTTTAAAATTTCCTTCCAAAAATTCCAAATATAATGAGATTCAAATTCTCTGGATTTCATGCCTTCTCACATTAAGCACATGGACAAGACGCACAAGATCTCAGTAATTTCAAACAGCCCATTGTTTCAGCTTTCCGTTGGTTAAGTTTCATTGTGCAAAATTTTATTTTAAAAAATTCAAAATTTCATTGTCTCATGTGGAATTGCCCTACAGCGGCTTTGCCCCCCTCCCCCCTCCCCCCTCCTTTAATCAGACACCAAAGGGACAGAACCATTAGTGTCCACTTTACAGAGCTGTCTGCTTTAATTACTGATGTAAAGTAATATGTATAAAGTTAGAATATGATGTCTTTAAGCTATATATGCAGTGCAAGACAGAGAATTGTTTTGTCCATTTGCACATGGCTAAAAGTTTGTGTAACAATGCAACTCCCAACAACATGCAACAACATTGCAACAACATGCAACAGGGTGTGCCAATGGACGCAACATTTAACATTCAACAATGTTGAGAGCTGTTGGCCGACAATGTTGCATACATTTGCATGAGGCTGTAGGATGAAAAGACCTTATAGAGGTGTTTGCATGGAGGCGTTTGATCATATTTTAGGTGATAATTTTGTAATAATATTGATAAAGGGAAATGTTGATAAGCCTATTTTTTTTTTGTTTACATCAGGCAAACTAAGTGATTTGCAACTGGAAGGAGTTTTGTATGCTGTAAGTATAATTATCACCTTATTAGTATCAAGAACTCTGTCAACATTTGTCGGCTTTTGTATTGCTCTTTCTTCTGTCCACGTAAAGCATTTAAAGTATTTGGGAAAAGATGGATTTCCAGCTAAAAATAAATTCATTACAAAAAAGGCCCTGGGGAGATGTGGTAGCAGAGAGTGTGTTATTGCACAGTCATGGTCTTGAGTAATAAAATCAAGTTAAACAGCATGAAAAATTCATTTTACAAACTGCTGTTGATTTTTTTTAAATAGTGTCAAAGACATCAGATGGTCCTTGCCAATGGACAGAGAGCTGGATTCTTTATAGGGGATGGTGCTGGGGTTGGAAAAGGAAGACAAGTGAGTACATTTTGTTTTTGTACAATTTCATGCTGTTAAGTCGATGAACTGTTACTTTGTTTATTTAGACAAAAATCAAGAACAATGGCCATTTTCACTGAGGTGCAAATTTACCTCATTTTCATGTTTGCAAAAGTACTTGCCTCGTTTTCATTTTAAAACCATGTGATATCACTTGTATTTTCCATTGCCTCCACATTGCCTCCAAACCATGTTAAACCACTCAAGAATTGGAGTTGCTATGGCATTTTATTAATCTTTGATCAGCTGGTAGGGTGTGAGAGTTAGTACAGGCATGCAAAAGAACATACAAAGTCATGGTTGATCATACAACCTTGAAAAGGTCTTAATTCTACTACTGTCATCTTGAAAAGTCCTTGAATTTGGTTTAGGTCCTTGAAAAGTACTTGATTTCTTTATTAGGTCATAAAAAGTCCTTGAAATTCACAACCTTGTCTATGCCAGACACCTTTTTCTGTAAAATTAGATTATTTTGCCAAGGAAAATTCAGCTCATCCTCGGTGTAAGAATTGACCTGTAAAACTCACAGGTAACTATGCTTAATTTCTGCACCTCAGATGCAATTGCACGTCATACCCAGTCATTTTGCAAAGTCTTGTTATGGAAAGGAGTATAAAATAATGTGATCAATGATATGGCCAAAGAAGTCAAAATCGTAAATGACTCCATGATGTGTTTTAGCCAATACGGTGATCAAAGGCGGTTAAAGAATGCCTACGATTTAACAGAAATATCGTAGTCCTTGAAAACTGTAATTTGTCCTTGAAAAATTCTTGAAATGACTGTCCTAGAAATTTGTTTGTTTGAAGTTGTACAAACCATGAATGTATAGAACTGTTTGAGTTTAAGCCCATTAATTTTGTAGTCAAGATTACACTCCAGTTGTTTTCTACTGTAGATTGCTGGCATTGTGTTGGACAATTTTGCACGTGGAAGATCCAGACATATATGGTTTAGTATTTCAGCTGACCTACGATTAGATGCCCAAAGGTGTGTTCAGATTATTTTTTAGTCAAAGTCTGATTATGTATTTAATGGAATAATTTGACCTTTTAAGTCAATGATTTTAACCCATTCACTCTGGGAATTTTTCCAAAAAATACCTTTTGAAAAAGTCTGCTGACTCTATGACTTATTGGCGATGTAGGTTTTATTACAGATTAGAAGTCATAAACAGGATTTTCTTTTTCAAAATCATCTTCTGGTCCCTCAGTCTATCCTACAGGATGCGGGCAGTAAATTATTTTGCATCTTTGGAGATCTGATGCATCAGGGGCACAGGATGCACAGGATGCACAGGCAGGGGTAACAAAATCGCTGCAGCATTAAGTTCATAATTCCACATTTTTTTTCGCACTTTTACATGTAACCCATTCACCCACTAGAACAAAATGGTCCAGGGGTAATAATTATTGGAAGGAATTCAGAAGCATTTCCACACCAATAATCCAATAAAATCGATAAAATCGGCTTTGGATTTGGATTCACTGATTCTGGACTGTGACAGATTTTTCATGATGTGAATCCCTATAGCAGTTTGTTACAAAATCAGGGATGCTGGTAATTGCTCTCTCTCTCTGTATAGCTGTAAAATACTATAACCCAAGAAACTGACAAATTTCTGATTGTTTTTCATTTGTCAGAGATTTACATGACATTGGTTGTTTTGTCAAAGTGATAGACGGTTGTCAGCAGCTGGATAAAGAAACCAGGTACATGAACTCAAATACCACGGGTATTATTTAGAGTGGGGCAAGAGGGCCATGCCTTCCCCTGCCTTTTTGTCTAAAATCTTGTTAAATTTCAGAAAAAAATTAATTCTCTCAACATCTGTCTTCCAGAATCTCAATTTTTGGACGAAATGCTATCAGAGTTCTCTCTGTTTTGGAATTTTTTAATTCTCTCAACATCTGTCTTCCAGAATCTCAATTAATTTTTGGACGAAATGCTATCAGAGTTCTCTCTGTTTTGGAATTTTTTAATTCTCTCAACATCTGTCTTCCAGAATCTCAATTTTTGGACGAAATGTTATCAGAGTTCTCTCTGTTTTGGAATTTTTTAAATCTTTCTCTGAATACTACAAGTTATCTACACTAGCTGATGTCTGTTGTTATCATTATGTAACACAACATAAATTATTCTTGGACAAGGTACATAAATTCCTTTTCTTAATAATTATTTTCTAAGATTTCTTTTTCAAACCAATCTGTGCATGCAAGTTTCATTAATTTTCATTTTCCTTCAATTCAGGTGTATTTTTCTCCAAGTGATAATCTGATCCAAAATGTTTCCAAGCCAACTATTGCTTCCTACAGTGTAAAAGAAAGGAGAAGTCACACTGCCATGGTAGCAAAATTTCTGGGTCTCAACAAACTGTGGTCCTGCCCATATGGTGGGGAAAAAAACAACAAAAATTTTTTTTGGTGCATTATTGCACTTAAGAATGAAAGGGTGGCTGGTATTTTCCTTCCATCATTGGACAATACAAATGGCCATCCGTCTCTGTCAAGGAAGATTATTGATCCAGAAATCTTGCTTCCACGGTAACATGACATCACACATCTCTCTATATTAGCAATATTCTGTGATTTATTTGACAGTAATAATAGATCAGTAGGAATTTTAAAACAAATCCAACAACATTGACATTATTAATTTTTTTATTAATTTGTTTTACAGAGTATTTGGCTTACCTGCTGATTTTAAAGAGGGTGTTGTCTTCAGTACATACGCAACACTGGTGTCGTCTGTTCAAAAAGGTGAGCATGCAGTGTGAATGTCATCTATCACTGACAATAGACAAGATTCCTGTTTTTGTTGATCTGATTTGTTTTTTTTGACAGGTGCCAATCGTCAAAGCAGATTGCAACAGCTCATAGACTGGTGTGGTGGTGAGCAGTTTAATGGATGCCTCATATTTGATGAGTGTCATAAAGCAAAGCATTTTGTACCTGTAAGTGATTTACAATAGTTTAGCCCTTATTCTTCACACTCATAACTGCAGCAAATACATGTAAATACATATTTAAGGCAAAAAACATGGATTATTAGACCAAAACTCATTATTCAACTTAAGTTTATTAGAAACTGCTACTGATCATCATTGTATTCAACTTGTGTTTTGAATGAAAAGGATGAGAGGACCACAGTTTGTATTCCCTTTACATTACATACAGTTCATGTAAAGCATGACTGCGCAGTGGGTTTCTTGAGAATGCAATTGGTCTTGTTACACTTTGAATGCACAACCATTACACTGTCCACACATGCAAATTGACACCAATGATGCATAATTGACAGCAGAGACAGATGTTACAAGTCATGGATTCAATTAAGTACTCTGCTCACTGTAGCTTATTTCATTTTAGGGCAAAGAAGAATCCAGCACAAAAGTTGCTCTTGCTGTCACAACAATACAAAGGTATGATAAAGTTATTCTACTTCATTTCTGAATATCAATTGTTAGCATGTAATTAACACTCTTATGTAATAATTAAAGTACTAATAATTTTACAATTTGAAAGAAGCAGGGAGCAGGGAGCAGGGATGGAGCAATTGTGATTGAGCACTTGCCTCCCACCAATGCGGCTTGAGTTCAATTTCCAGAGTTGATGCCATGAGCAGGCCCTTTGGGAGGGTGGGTGCGACATGTGAGCTTGCACCCCCCGCCCCCCCCCCCCCAAACAGATCCAGAGGTCTACTTTTTAAAATACATAAATAAAGTAGTCTCTGCCAAAAGTATATGTATCAAGTTTGAAATTCAAAACTTTGCGAAATATCCAAGAATTGAGTCCGACATGTCTAATTTGGGTCGACCCATGAATCAAGTTCGAGTGGCCCACATGGGAATTTTTACTGTGGAGCAAACATCAAATTTTTCTTGTACTGAACCTAGTGTATAAATTACAGTAATCTATTTTCACTGTTAAGTATTAATTTCAGACCATTAAACATTGTGGCAATGAATTGAGTCCGGCTTCTTAAGTTTGATGTCTGAATGAACCAACGAACTTATATCATTTGGGTCAACCTAAATAGGTGTCAAGTTTGGTACATGAAAAGTTTTACGTTTGAACTGAGCCTAAGAATGCCACAGGTTTTCAGTTCTTGGAACTGACAAGTTTCACTCTCTCTAAATAACGTAAGATTGGTTTGGCTTTTTTGCCTGGCTTCTTCCCTATCAGACATACAGTGTTCTCCCTGAATTTTAGCTCAGCTGGTAAGGGACCATTCTTGGCCAGTAAGGTAAAAAAAATGTGTGCTAGAGGGGCATTTTCCTTGTGGGGAGGGGGGTAGTAAAATGAGGGACATGCCTTCTACCTCGCTGTGAAATTTGGCAGCTAAGTTCTCTGAAAAGTCATTCCCTCATTTTTAAGACCTATTTTACACAAGTTAGCCATTGTTATCTGTAGACAACAATTTAAAACATTTGATTGCAATAATTTTACTCTGTCTTCAGTGCCCTCTGGCCCATAAAAGAGAAAAGTTGTGTATACTTTAGTACACTTCCAAATATTCATTCATTACCTTGATCTGATCGGAACACAACTTGCGTATTGTTTTTAAAAACAACTTATTTAACTTTAGTAAACCTTCAAACAGTTGCAGTGAGTCGGTAAGAAGTGTTGCTTCAGATGGTAAATTTTACCGGTTACCGCGTGATAAGGAGCACACCTGACATAAGAATTCATCTTTAGGCCACAAAATTGAATTACCTTAAACAGCTGTATGATATAGGAAAGAGCCCAATTTTAAACAAAATCCAAAAAGAAAACTTCAATTTGTTAGCCTATAACTTATTATGTCCTATTTATGTATGAGCAGGGCAGTAATTAAGAACTGGGGGCCAGGGATTTCCCCCGGCTACTGTGAATGTGGTTCCCAGCTACTTTCATTGGAAAATAGAAGAAACAGAACCAAAAGAATTCCATAGCTGTTTGATTCGCTGCCTACTTGTTGTATTTACCCAACAACTTGAAATCTCAGTGACAACCCTGTATCAGTAAATAGATTTTTTTTCAAGAAAATAATCAGTGGCTGTATGGAATAAAACCCTAAGTGACATTTTTGAAAAAGTACAAGATCCTTTGTCCAAATCGCCTCATATTTGCCCATGTATGTGAAAGGAGGATTTGATATCATGTCAAGTGTCACTAGGGGCATTGTTCCGTGCACCCTTCAAATTACAAAGATTAGAATATGTAATAGTTATTATTAAAAACTGAATCATTGGATAATACTATTCTAGGGCTCTGATTGGCTTAGCCATCACGGTATATGAGCCCCTATACGATGCTCCCCAAGTATGGTAACTGTACACGTCTGCTCAAAATTAAAAACAAGCTGAAAATTGGTTGTTTTTACAAATAAAGTCAGGACGAATTCTCGATATTTTGCGGGCGTTTTTAATAAAAGAATATTCCACTCGTGCTTGTTGTATATGACATGATCATAGTCAACTCATCCAACACGCACGAGTGGAATAATTGTTAAATATACCTGACCTCCTTACTGTCTCTACAGAGTCCCCCCGCTTCCCCTACAGTGACTGTTGTACCCAAGTTCTCTCTTTTTTAAAGATTTATTCTTTTCTCATTTTATAGAATGCTACCCAAAGCCCGTGTTGTGTACTGTAGTGCAACTGGTGTGACAGATGTAAAAAATATGGTAGGTGTAGAGTGATGTATTATTTTATATAATTGACAATAACGTGATTTTGACTGAGTGTCAGGAAACAGCTTGTTACTATTAAAAGGTATCCAACTTTGCTTTGCTAGTTTTTCGCAAACAATGCACTAAGTAAAGGTTGGCATGTACCTTTAAAAACTATGCTGTACGCAGTCAGCATCTTATAAGATACCACTGTACAAAGTTAAAACTATAAAGTGAAACTTGATCTTGTAACTTGATTTTGTACCTGGGAACAAAGATTTTTTAAGGTGAAATACCGTCGGTTGCATCTAAGCGTTGACACGAGACAAAAAAAAAAATGTTCTAATAGAGTGCCAGACATGACGTGTTTTGCCGCCAAACATATTTTTGCCAAAGCCTTTAAGCCAAAGGTAAGTTTGTAGCCAACTGGAACATGTTTTTTCCTCAGGTGTACACGCTTAGATGCAGCCGACGTTAATTATGATCGCCGGGATGAGTGTACTTAACAGGACTGTTGTTGACAGTGATTGACGTTTTGGCAGGTCTTCAGGCCCTATCCACATGTATCGGGATAGTTTTGAAAACGGAGACTTTTTTCTCCATTCTTGCCTCCATCCACACATAAACGGCCTTTTCAAAAACAGACCCAGAGTGGAGATTTTTTAAAACGCCGGCTTCTCGTTTAAAGTGGGCTGTCGAAAACGGAGATTTGTGAACACGATTGTCATGCACCATATACTACTAGCGTTACACATGCTCTGTAAGAGCTGCTATCGTCTTTCCATCGTTTTAGGGTTTTCATGTGGACAGGCAAAAACGATTCAAACACGATTCATGTAGACGCCTATTTTTTTTTTCAAAATCGAGAAAAAAATTCCCATTTTCGAAAATATCCGGATAGGTGTGGACCGGGTGTCAGGGTCAAAGTCTGTTGTATCACGTCAGTTGATGGTATTAACTCTGGTTCAAGGTACATGATTTCTAGGTACTCAGTAGAAGAGCACAAAGACTCTTGTTGCGTGAAGTTTTTAAACCCTACAATAATTGCTGAGAGATTATTACAGCAACCATGTCTAGAAGCCTTAGGTTTCTGACAATGGTCCCCTTCAGTCCAACGGTCAATCAATACAGTACACTGATACAGTGATTTGATTATTTCCAGGCATTTATGGAGAGACTTGGTTTATGGGGAGATGGAACAGCATTTAAATCGTTTGATTCTTTTCTAGCCAGCATAACTAAGAGAGGTCTTGGTAAGTGACATAGTTTTCAGCCTAGACTAGAGCATTCTCTCTTTTTTCCAAGTCCGTCGAGCAAAACGCGCGAGACACGCAAATGACCACGCGCAACGCTCTCTCGCGCGCGTACACTCCCCTCACTAAATCTGAAGGAAAAGAGAGACTGCTTGCAGTCTATTTTCAGCCCCAATGATCCACATACAAATTCTCTCCACTGATCCCCCTACTTTTCCTTAAAGAATTAGTTGAGAGATTTAAATGATTATTTTATGAATTCTCTAAACTTTTTCCTGTAATGATGCATGTATGGATATTTTTAGGAGAAAATTGATGTTAATCACGTTTGGTACTCAGTGGGATAAAGGGGTTATATCAAGATGACTTCCATATTCTTGTCAAAGTTGAGCTGAAATTGTAACTAAGTATTCTCAGTCACTTTTTTCCATACTTGGAACTCTAAAAAGAAAGCTATCAAATGATTCGATCTAAGCCAAGTGGAAAGTAATGCATGTTCGTTTCTGGTCATTTTTCCAAGAACTCCTGCCTGCCGTACAATGCTTAGCTGTGATAAGAGCGTTAAAGGTCTTAAGGTGCAGCGCTTCCTTGTACCTGCTCTGGCAAATTACTCGAAACCTTAGCCTAAAATATGGGTAGACCGCCTGTACTATAACCGTGGAGAGACGGCTAGCTAGGCTAGTGGCTAGAACGGTGATGCGCCGTGACGATGCTATTACCACGTCTCGGAAATCATGGTCACCTTTTATATAGCCAGTCCCAGGCTTTGAAATAGTGGAGTGTGGTGTGAAGTTAGAGAACGGGAAAAAAATAAGGAGAAAGAGGGAGAGAGAGGAAGGAATTTCGCCCTCACTCCCTAACCCACCCCTTGCTGTTTTTTTCTGCACACATCTCCTTGCGTCGTCCTCACAATCTGAACTCCTGGAACAGGAGCTTACACTTCTCCATCGGCAGAAACGATGTATCTCAAGGTCACTAATATTTAAAATCTTTCCAGGTGCTTCTGAAATGTTAGCTATGGAAATGAAGGCATCAGGGATGTACGTTTCTAGAGGTCTTAGTTTCAGACAGGCTGAGGTAATGCATAATTTTAGAAATGGCATCGTAATTTTCTGTTGTAAGCAGAAGTTTTTCTATCATTCTGAAATATAAGGCTTTTTTTCAACGCTTATTACTTCACTTCTGTTCCTTTTTTGTTAACAAACTTTGATAATGCTTTTTTGTCGCATTTCTGCAGTTTGTTAATGTTGAGGCGACACTGACTGCGGAACAGAGAAAGGTTTATGACACTGCAGTTCACGTTTGGTACGTATGGCAATGTAAAAGGGGTAAATCTTCGTATTAACTGCTGTAAGTAGACCACAACTTAAGACGTAATCATTCAGTGGTTTCTTGTACCAGGGCTCCGGAATTAACTTATGTGATTTCGTAGAAATTGCACTCAAAACTTATGCGTTTGTTTGAGTCAAAGCAAAAGCAAAGCAACAATCACAGTTGGTATTCTAAGAAGTAACGGTTGTGTGTATCTTTCACAATCATAGTGTGAATATGTTTCAGCTTTTTTCCTTTTCTCTTTAAAGGAGCGAGTTAAAGAAGTCATTAGAATTTGCCATTGGTCGCACCACCTCTTCTACACCAAGGGTGTGGTCAGTCTTTTGGTCCTGTCATCAGCGGTTCTTCAAACAGCTCTGGTGAGTATTTAATCCCGTCTCTGGTCTTTTAGGGGCAGATATTACAACAGAGTTTAGGCGTTATTTAACAAAACACCGTTCTAACGCTCATGCCTTAGCATCGTTTGCTGTTCATATCAACAAGAAGGCGACAGCCCAAATTAGAAAACCATTTATCTACTTGAAATGAGTACCCTACCGACGGATTAGGAGATCCTCTTATTGTTAGACGTCGTTTAAGTAGCCGACCTTAAGATTCACCTTAACATTATTGCCCTCTTATTTCCAGTAATGTTGTGCTCGATGCTAGTTTATTGGCATAAGGCTGAGTCGGTATTGTCTCCAATTGCACCGTGGGACTGTTTGCAGACGCTATCGCCGTTTTATTGGATATTATTAAAAACTTTATCATTGGATAATGCAATTCTAGAGCTCTGATTGGACTGTACGCGTTTGCTCACAATTAAAAACAAGCTGAAAATCGTTTGTTTTTACAAAAAAAGTCGGAGAGAATTCTCGATATTTTGTGCGCGTTTTTAATAAAACAATTATTCCACTTGAGCTGTTGGATATGAGATGGTAGATACCAACGCGCACTCCTGGAATAATATCCCATTTTCGAGTTCGCTATGACCTCTGAATTAAAGAAGTGAAGACGCATTTTTTACAGCCTTAGCCTCCAAGTGAAGTAATATATTCACAAATTCCAACGAGACCGAAAAAGACCTCTTTATTACTCTGTCTATTGTGTATATTCAAATTTCAAACACTTACTTGGGCCATCCCCATAGAATGTTTCGTTTCCCATCGCCCTCCCTCTCGTGAAGGTGGGTCGGTCGATCGGGCAAAAAAAAAAAAAAAAAAAAGAATGAACACATGATTGCATATTAAATCCCACGTTTAGTCTGCAAGATATAATCAGATGGTAAAAGATGTATATTAACAGGACTATCAAATGTCTAAAAGGCTACAATGATAATTTAAGACAATTGGTGTTAATAAGACAAGATCGTGTGCTTGTAAATTAAAGTACTTGCTTCTTTACAAGTGATTCTGGAATTTTTAATTTTTTTTTTACTTTTTTGAGTGAGAAATTAATGAACAAGCAACGGAAACAAACCCTAGCCCTGAAATAATAGAGCTACGTACCTGGTAGAGCGAATGAAATTATAGTTTTTAAAGGGCTTCGTGACAGTAGCAATGTAAGGTAACCCAAGACAGTCTTTGATTCTGGATTTCACGCTGTGGATTCCGGAATCCTTATCACTGGAACTTGGATTTGGGATCTCCAATCGTCAGCGGGATTACGGATTCCAAAGTCCAGGATTCCGGTTATCACACGGAAATTTTTCCTGGATTCCGAAATCCGGATTACCTGATCCTGGGCGGATCATTATACGTTTCTGGGAAACTGCCCACCTACCCCTCCCTTAAACTAACATTTTGCCCTAAGTGAGAAGTAAGTGTTGATGTTGGCTCAGGGGAGGGGTAGGTGGGCAGTTTCCCAGAAACGTATAATGATCACATGGGGCAATTTTGCCAGTATCATGTTCCACTTTAAGCGCCAGCAGGCATTTTTACTTTGTAACCTTCCTTATATTGGGTCTGATAACAGATAAGATGTATATGAATATTTTACAGCATGAGTATGAAAGTTCCTACCATAGTGGAAGAAGCCCGGCAAGCATTGCAGGCAGGATATTGTGTGGTCATTGGTCTCCAGTCCACTGGAGAGGTTTGTTTTCTCTTTCTCTCCAATTTTTTGTCGTATCCACTCCAAACGGGTTATAGTTTCTGATAACATAAAAATTTCTTTATTTCAAGGTCAGCCAGTGTTTAAAATGTAATGTTTGAGACACTTAGAACTTCTTGCAAAAATTAGGAGAAAGTGCGTACCAAATAATTGTTCGCCCCTCACATTGTATAGAGAGTTTCACATAACATTGTAGGTTTTATTAGGGGATGCACTTGATGTAAGGCTATCGCTGCAAGTATTTTATGACCCTTAAGGACGTATGTACGGTCTACGCAGTATTTATGTCTGACAAAACAAAAAAACATGGATTGTATCGAGAACGCACAATTCGTCTGTAAAGAAGACCTGCAAATTGCTGGATTTGGCCGCTGGATGTATGATGGCCATCGTATTTTACCTGCAATAATGTTATTTCGTTGGTCCAGCAATTCACCTGTCAAGGCGGATTTTGTTCATCTGGAAAGTGATAGGCTACAGCGAGACTATCAATTTTGTCCAGAAGGCATGATCGACCACAGGTCACTAGATTTCGTAGGTCATGGGTCATTTTTGATAATTTTACTCAGGTATTGTTCAATGACCGACGGTTATTTACTTACTACTTATAAACCGAGAGTGAGGTCGTTACAGGGAAGTCTCGGCCCAAGGCCTTGATTTATTGACCGAGCAATAGCACAACAAAACCATTTTTAAAATACTTTTTTAAACTTAGATATATGTCCCTTCGAATTCAACTCCAGAAAAATTCACCAACATTTGACAAATTCAACGACATGGAATAACAGCGAGGAATTTTGAAACGGCATGAATTCACTTTTTAAGAGACGTTTTCATTACTCTCGTTGAGTCGTCGTTGCTTAAACTCCCCAATGATCATGAGAAAGTAGTTGCTTGAATAGAGTTTGGCTTAAGTCATTGTTTTATTTGTCAGGCAAGTTTGGAAAGTGAAATATCACGTTGTGGTGGAGTACTGAATGGCTTTGTCCCAAGTACAGAAGAAATCATTAGCAGGTTTATCAAGCAGTATTTTCCAACTCAGATAATCAAATCGGTGAGTAATTCTGAACAACCCTGCTTAGCTGGTGAGATTTAACTCACGCGAGTGCTTAATTTCACGAGCGCTTTTGTTCTGGCTTTGAAGATCAGAGTTGATTGAGGATAAGTCAAGTTGACACCTCTCTTTCAGGTCCGTTCACTAAGATTTTAAGTTGCCGGGTATAATTTTTATGCAAAGTTTTGAAGGAGATTTCTACAGCTGGGAAGTTCTTTATGTTCATTTTTCCTTCTATTCCTATGTAAGTAGCCGGGGGCCTTACTCAAAGTTCCCAGGGGAAATTCCCGGTCCCGGACCCCCAATTACAGCCCTGCTCTTTCCCCTTGCGACTTCAGCGCCGCTGAAAAGCACTCCTGCGCTATGATTCCACAAGCTTTGCAGGCTAATCTCAATGATGGTACATCACACAACGAATGGATAATTTTGAAAATCCACTCTATGCTCAACATTACTTAATACACTTTCTGTAACCTGCAAAGCAGGCGTATTTTGTAGGGTGACTGTTCTCCCGCCATCTGGGATATTTAAACTGTCAGAGAGTTCAGTCACCTGTTCAGTTGGCGTCAGTGAAGAAATGATTAAAGATGGCGGACGCGATCAATATACATTTGTACCTCTAGGCTTGAGTTTAAAAAAAAAATGTTTGCTCTACAGGCCACACTTTCTGCGTTCCACATTTCAAAGATTTGATGTTACTTCTCCTGTTATGGTTCATAAGCCACGGAAGTCCAGTCCAATAGTCTTGTTTATGCACTTTCCCGGCCTTATTTTTGTTTCGGGTAATGTGAAGTTAAGTAAATTTTTTTAAAAAAAGAGAAATCAAGGCTATTATGTTCTTTATGTAGAATGGCGATGTTGTTGAAGATCAGTGGAGTGTTCAGGCTAAAAATCTTCTACAAGGTTTTGTCAAGAAAATTGTTCTCCCAGTCAAGTTTGTATCAATGTTATATTCTTTAAAACCCTTTTAAAGAGCCTGTCTCTCTAGGATGAGCTTTTGCTGTTTTAGGTCAATGCTGTGCAAGAGTCCCTACTTAGCACCTTAACCTAAATACAAAATGGTCCTGAGGAATTACACAGAAAATAGCAAACAAATTCTTAATCATGGAGCACTAACCGCTATTTTTTTTGGTGATTGTTACAGGCATAGTATTAAAACTTGAACAATTTGGTAGAACGTTTTCAAGTTTAAATCCATGTCCATTCTTGCCATCCGTTGCAACAGACGACAGAAACCAGTTTCAGTGCTTAAAAATATTCTTAAATAACAAATTTGCTGCATTATTTTTGGGATTAATCCTGGGTGGGGATGGAAAGGATTATGTTATGGACTACCATACACTGTCTCACTCCACCCAGGTGTATAAATTTGGGTACCAAAAGATTAAATCCTGGGTGGAGGTGGGAAGGATCCTGTTATTGACTACTATCCCGTCCAAGGAAGAGCAAAAATATTCCTAGTCGCCTCATGCTATGGAGATCGGAATGTGCTACGGCCAAATGGGCTACCTGGCTCGAACGCAGACTTTACCTTCGTACCTTTTTGACTTATTTTTGTCTCTAGTCCTCTTGATGACCTTATAAACCAGCTCGGAGGACCAGGAAAAGTAGCAGAAATGACAGGCAGGCGTGGTCGCGTGGTAAAAACTGACAAGCAGCCTCAACCTCATTACGAGGCTCGAGAATCAGACAGCAGCAATGTGGATAGTTTGAATATTCAAGAGGTGAGCAAAGTGATCAGAACTAAATCTTGCGCCGTGTTCCGAATAAAATGGTAGAAAATGCGATTTACAGTCGGTAATTACAGTGATCAGCATAGACGTCATCCTCGGCCAAGACCCTGGAAGAGGCAGCCAGATCGAAAACTTTCGTCGCACGACTCGTCGCACCGTTTCTGCCGACCTGACTGACTGCCCCTTGGTCTCCGAGGATGAACTCTGCCTTTGTCCCTTACATTTAAAAACAGGACCGTCGTTTCAGCGCGAGAAAGACAGCCTAGTGCTTGCGTTTGTTAGTTGTTCCTGGGATGACAAGTTTTCAAGTGTAGTCCAACCTTAAAGTCTTTCTCTAAATCTGAACTCTTATGCCTTAAATTCAGGTAGCAATCCGGTTTCGGATCTTCGTTTCATTCCCCAGTATTTTTCGCTTTCGCTATGACAACTAAGTCGGCATAAAGCAATTGCTTGAAGCTCAAGAACTGCCTCTTTAAATACCACAGTTTTTAGAGAGTTGTTTGAGTATATCTGAACATTCAACGTTGTTTTTTCGATTGCATTGTATCACAGAGGAACAGTTTTATGAATGGAACAAAACTTGTTGCCATCATATCTGATGCCGCCAGCACTGGTAGGTTCCCTTTGTATCTTGATTCGTTTGAAGTTACCTGGATTAAACATTGCACTTTTTAAATTCTTTTAATACTTGAAATTTGAGGCAACCTTGAAGTTATTTTCACACAAAGAATCGCTGGCTCAGTGTCTGTTAGCGTTCAATTGAGTTGCCATTACTTGGAATTTCGTGTAGAGACTCGAAATTTAGAGTGATGTTTCTTGACTTAAAGTTCTACTCAAGCAGGAATAAAAGGTTTTCATCGGGTAAAAGGAACCGCAATAAATAACGTGTATAAGTGACAAGACAAGACGATAATTTACTTGGGGTCGTATACCACCTGGTACATCGACTGTTTTCCAAATGATTTAATATTACAATATAAAATAAATAAAATAAATAAATAATAGACTCATTGAATTACACAGGTATCTCGTTACACGCGGATCTCCGAGCAGCCAATCAGTGCCGCCGTGTTCATGTGACCATTGAGCTGCCTTGGAGTGCTGACAAAGCTGTTCAGCAACTGGGAAGATCACACCGGTCAAACCAGACAAGGTACATGCACTGCCCAAACACAAACGTTCCTATCCCTTTGATATAAGCTATTTCCTAAAGAAGAAGGAAATGGTTGCGCGCTGCACGTTTACCATTTTTTAATTGTACCTCCGCTTGATTAGCCTTGTTGGAAGGGTAGCGTTCTGCCAAGCAGGTTTAAACCCGCCGTTTAAACCCAACACCAACCAGGGTCTTCAAAAAACTGATCATATCATGCTGCCTGTTATCTAAGATCTTGTCTCAGTCCAGATGATCTGATAGTCACGTCAGTGGGCGGTGATGTTAATCCATTGGCCTTGTCTTATTCATCCTTTCTTAACAATTCGAAGGGGACGTAAAAAGAACCCACACTGCTGTTGGAGAAGAGAGTGAGAGGTAGACCTCTGTGGTGTGGTTTATCTCTCACGTGGAAGGGAACTGTCACGGGGCACAATACTTGGCTTCACGCTTTTGCGGTTACCCTGCCAAGAATTGGACAGTCTAGTAAAACAAAAAATAAAATTCCTTGTGATTAAAAATCTGAAGGCTTTCCTGGAATATCACTACTTCCATAATATCCTGTGTACAGCCGCCTTCTCCCCTTGGGAAAAATCGGGAAAAGGGAGGGGCGGCTTTACACAGGCTACTCCATGATCACTTTTCTTTCATAAAATCCCCTTTGTACCATGGGAGTCAGAGGAGGGAGGTATCACGTGATAATGTTCACCGTCTAATTGGCGCGCTCGGGGGCTCCGCTTTTCTCCAGAGTTTTACTGGCTCTAATGTTTTCTTTGTTTTGTTTTGTTTTTTTTAGTGGACCTATCTATAAACTTGTAACAACAAACTTGGGCGGTGAAAGAAGATTTGCTGCGGCTGTGGCTCGACGGCTTCAGTCGTTAGGTAATGTTTAAATGTTTGTCAGACTCGGAAAATCGTGAACATCTGACGTATTTGTGAATTATTCTCACTCAGTTGCAAGGAAAAAGCTAATCAGACATAAAAACAAAGAAGCTGCAAGTATCAGCGGTAATTAGTTTGAGAAAGATGATTTTTAAGTCTGACACAGGCGGCTCGAAATGAAAAAATCCGAGTACACCCATCCAACAGGAGTTAAAACTTTGATCATCTGTTTACTAGCCCGGCCAGATGCTCTACCATTAAGCTACAGGGGTCACGTGGGAGCTAAGGTCACTAAACTAGGTCCATGTGGCAAACATCCTGCATACTTCTAGGACTAAAATGTCGATATGTACTGATGCAATATGATAAGAGATGTGATGGCAGGGTGCAAAGAAAATCATTTTTATAGCTTGCCATTCGGGCAAGCTGAAGCTAGCATTTACTAGCCCAGACATCATTTTAACTAGCCCTAAAAGCTTTTTGACCAGCAAAATTGATTTCACAGTTCTTCCTTTATCCGAATTGCTCAAAAGACATCACTTGCAGATCGGGCAAGTTAAAAAGAGAATTCACCAGCCTAATAACAAAATCCACTTGCCCCGAGCTATCGGACACTACTTTCTTTGCACTTTTGATGGTGAATTTTGAGCCTGGTGAATACATGAGAAATATGATTTTTCAGTCAGTGACACAGGCGGCTTGGAAGAAAAACATCCAATTACTCCCAGTAGGCGGTCAAACTTATGACATTCTGGTTACTAGTCCAGATGCTCTACCACTGAGCCACAGGAGAAGTTTTGGAGCTAAGTTCATGTGCAAACATCCTGTATGTAATACTGCTAGATTGTCTAGAACTGGTCCTAGCAGAATACAGTCGAAGCTCTCCATGCGACCACTCTCGTGGTCTAGTTACGACCACATTTGTGAAACCCCGTTTGGACAGTGACTTAAACAATTTAGTGAAAAAGCTCTTGTAAGCGGCCGTGAACGCTTTTGGGATTACCCAAATGGACGGGGTGGTCACTTACGAGAGCTTCGACTGTATCTAGAACGTTCTTATCCTAGCAGTATGCTGGATGTTTGTCACGTGAACCTAGTTTAGTGGCCTTAATCATTTGTAGCTCAGTGGTAGAGCATCTGGACTGGTAGCCAGAAAGTCATAGGTTTTCTTTTGTTTTCCCAGCCAAAAGCATCAATCCATTCAACTAAACAGCCATGACAGAGCCCCTTTAAGTTTTTGTTTTGTTTGCCTGCAGGTGCACTTACCAAAGGTGACAGACGAGCAGCGACTGGGGCCGACTTAACGCAGTTTAATTTTGACACGCCTTACGGCCGATCTGCACTCAGGAACATGTACCAAGCCATTACTTTGGTATGTCAGATAGCCTGTTTCGGGATAAAAGATAATAGCGTAGTAACTAGCTAAATTGTTTTTTATTCTCGATATTTTTGACCAACTAGTTGGATTTTACTAAAACAATTATTCCTCTCGCCCTCATGGCCTCTTAGTCAATAGCCCATTCGGCCTTCGGCCTCATGGGCTATTGACTCAAACCCATTCGCTCGAGGAATAATTGCTAAAAAATCCCACGTTAAAGCACCCCCGGTTTTAAACCCTCTCCCGGATCTAAGTCCATCTCTTTGCTAACGAAGATATTACATATTCCGGATACAGTCCCCGGATATAATCCCCCGCCCCTATTTATAAAGCCTACCCAAAACCCTCAAGACGTTATATAAGCCCAGGGTTTTAACGTGAGATTTTACAGTATCGGTATGTCAGAAGTGGTCACAATTAGAACCATGTGTGTTTGTTGCTTGTGTCATCTACGACCAGTGTTTTTATTTGAACTTGGGACTTATTTTGCCTTTTTTTTTTTCAACAATCCATTTGTCCCAGAGTTGCTTTGTCTAAGGTTCTGTTAGCAGCACAAATTCCCGACAAGCATGAATTCACAGAGTTTAACTCCATCGCAAAGTGAGTTTTTACTTCGTTGGTCGCGAACGTGGTTAAAATTCTTGTTTAATTTCTCTCCTTAAAAGTGGATTTGGAAACAAAATTTATGATGTCAGAGACAATTTTATATGGCAGTTAGGCAGCGATATTACTTCATCAAAATTTTGGGCAACACGTGGAATGGATAAAGGAAAAACGTCATTTTGTAATAACATATAATGCGATCAGTAAAACATGACTTGATAGGAAAAATTAGAGACCTTGAATAGTGGCAACTCAATACCCCAACAGCTATTTTGTAACCACCAACAATTTCTGCAGCTTTAGGAAACCTTTGTGGAAAAAGGAGATACATTAGTAGCCTGTTTATAATAATAATAAGCATTTGGAAAAATGTAAGCTCCTTGTTTGTCTTGTCCCATAGCGTTTCTTGCTCCTCAGCATGGCGTATTTGTACCACGTGACTAAAGCACTACAAAGCGCCCATTTCGTTCGGTAGTCTAGCCCGCGCCATAGACGAAACTAAACTCTGGTTAAGTCTGTCTACGAAAAAGCGCCGAAATCCTTGTTCTGGGCCCCACTTGTGTACCAGGATTTGAGTATGCGCCATGATTGGCCTTTTTAAAAATGCCATTGTCCATTTGCCAATCAGGTTGAAAAAAGAAACTGGAAACGCACTTCTGGCAAAACGCTTATTCCGTTGTGGGCCCAGAACAAGGATCTCGGCGCTGTTTCGCAGACATTACCTGGAATTGCCTCTCAAAAATATGAAAAAATCAAATCAGCAAGTTTAAATTTACGCAACTCAGCATAAAAGCGACTCTAAGTATGGAGGATTTGAAGATTTTAGTCCAGCATAGGGTGAAAACTTCAGCTGCACTAGCTTTAGTATAGGCTAAGGGTCACAGGGTCCCCGCGGCACATCCCGCCAAAAATCCTGAAAGGTACCACCCCCTCGGGTTAGATTACATATGCGACGTAGGCTGGGTAGTTTCACATTAGTGGTTACTTATGGAAAAGTCTTTCTCAAAGGTAGTCCATTACATTTACCGAGGTGTCCAAATGACTGAATTACTCTCAAGTTTAACAAAGCCCTGTTTTCTTTCGTTTCACAGCAATGTCTTCTGTCCATGGGGAGTAACAGACGCCAGTTTCGTGGTGAAAGACAAAGACGCCAGCGATGTGGGAAAATTTCTCAACCGTATTTTTGGGTCTTAGTGTGGAAAGACAAAATTTGGTAAGTACAAAGATCCTTCCTGTTTGGTGGCAATGAAACGTACGTTTGAGGGGAAGTTGTGGGACTACCCCTTTTTCCTAATTTTTCTGCTATTTGAACCCCTGTCGTGAATTTTATCTGTCGATTTCTCAGTCTTCTTTTATCAGTCCATTTCCACTCTTCTTTTATCGATCGATTTCTATATCAGTCTTCTTTTATCGTTCGATTTCCCACTCTTCTTTTATCGATCGATTTCTCAGTCTTCTTTTATCGTTCGATTTCCCACTCTTCTTTTATCGATCGATTTCTCAGTCTTCTTTTATCGATCGATTTCTCAGTCTTCTTGTATCGATCGATCGATCGATTTTTCAGTCTTCTTTTATCGATCGACTTCTCAGTCTTCTTTTATCGATCGATTTCTCAGTCTTCTTTATCGATCGATGTCTCAGTCTTCTTTTATTGATCGATTTCTCAGTCTTCTTGTATCGATCGATTTCTCAGTCTTCTTGTACCGATCGATTTCTCAGTCTTCTTGTATCGATCGATTTCTCAGTCTTCTTGTATCGATCGATATCTCAGCTTCTTGTATCGATCGATTTCTCAGTCTTCTTGTATCGATCGATTTCGCGATCTCTTCTTTTATCGGTCGATTTCCCACTCTTCTTTTATCGATCGAATTCCCACTCTTCTTTTATCGATCGATTTCTCAGTCTTCTTGAATCGATCGATTTCTCAATCTTCTTGTATCGATCGATTTCTCGTCTTCTTTTATCGATCGATTTCTCAATCTTCTTGTATCGATCGATTTCTCAGTCTTCTTTTATTGATCGATTTCTCAGTCTTCTTGTATCGATCGATTTCTCAGTCTTCTTGTATCGATCGATTTCTCAGTCTTCTTGTATCGATCGATTTCTCAGTCTTCTTGTATCGATCGATTTCCCACTCTTCTTTTATCGATCGATTTCTCAGTCTTCTTGTATCGTTCGGATTTCTCAGTCTTCTTGTATCTTTGTCGAACTAGCCGGCCAAACTGGTCATAATAAAAATGAAGTGTTTGCCAAAACCCATCACTGCCGCGCATACATTTTAGAGATAAACAGATCTGTCCGGATAGTCCTGATTAAAAGTGGAATTCTCCCCTGGCGGTTGTACTGGTCTGGCCAGCCAGTTCTGACAAATTGTAAGTGCCCAAGACTTTCTGTTATCGAGTTTCCTTTTTGTTTCTGTTTTCTATTTTCGTGGTGTTACTCAATCAGTCGCGTTTTTAACGCTCATGGAATTCAGAATTTTGAATGAGTCTGATATCCAGATTTTACCGCTCCTTCAGGGTATAGGGAAGAGGAGATGGCTGACACCACAAACTCGGCTTCGGTATCTCAAATATATAATTTTCTCCTCTACACCGGTAGCTCGCTAGTATAGAACAGACGCTTGTGCCTTCCCAAACTCACTAACCCAGTTTACAGCCACTTTTCTGCTGCGCTACCTCTCACGTGACCACACCCTTGTGCAAAAGCACTTTGCGATTTTGCTCATAAGAAATGTTTCATTGTCTCCTGTTTTTGTTGTTGTTATTCTCGTACTTTTGTGAGTGCCTAAATGCTGCAATTGAAACTGCAAAGCGCGAAGGAAGGTAAGTATTGTTTTTTGTTACTGACCAGTTAATTTCTAAGAAACTAAGTTCTTCACCCCGAAGCGTCGATCTCGCATATTAAGCTTAGGGTCAATAAAGCTTGGTTCTTGCACGATAAGATTTGTGTCATGCATCCTCGAAAAAACATTGGTCTCGCATTCATACCCTGGACACAAATGAATAATATTGCGTGATAATTCTTAGG